CCATCAAGCTGGTTAAAAGCTAGTTTCTGCCCAACTGGTGTATCTCCTTATTCCAACGACTATCATTCCAAAGTCCAAAGTATAGGTTACAAAACAGAACCGAGCACAGTCTGACCCAACTATTCTTATACTCTGCAATCCCCTTGCACCGCTGCCGCCAAGTGGATGGGGGATCATTCCTAGGGGAAAGGATTCCCCGGTATCTAAGATCACTATAATCAATATCGGTATCATGTTGGAAAAAAAAGTTCGATAATATGCCGCCACTGCTCTCAGGACACAAAAAAATGGTGCTATGATATAACCCGCCGCATCAATGCATATCGGCCTCGGTGTCGTTGAGCCTGCAGCCTTTTGTCTCGAAAGGGAAGAACATGACAGCCACCCCCGAGAGGAAAACCACGAGCTCGAAGAGGAGGATCGCAGTCGTCTGATGGCAGTTGTGCACCAGAGCAACGGCGACGAGGGGGCACAGAATGCCGCCGATCCTGCCGACCGAGCTGGCGACTCCGATGCCTGTCGTCCTCACCGAGGTTGGGTAGATCTGGAAATGATGAAGCGAAGATGTGAATACTCTACTGTTCAATTTTAACACCTGAGAAGAGGGTTCAGCCTTGGTTTCAAGACTGGCTGTCGAAAAGAGGAGTAGAACAGAACTAACCTCGGGAGCGTATATGTATACGATTGTGAAGCTCGCAGAAATGCAGAGCCGGGCACCGAATAATGAGATTCTTGTCAGTATTTCTGTGCGGGAAAACACTAGCGGGAATAAAAAGACACAGCTAGTGAAGAGCATCGAAGCCATTGAAAGCCTTCGCCCAATTCTATCCACGATCATGATCGACACGAATGACCCTGGAATCTCTGTTTCAAGAAAACATGGAAGAACCGGTCACCAAAGTAAGATTGTATGCACTGGAAAGTGATTAGCATACAGAAATTGTGTAAGAGTGAGAACAGACCTGCAAAGCTAGAAATAAACACGTTTTTGTACAGGCTTGAGTTGTTCGAGTGTACAGATTCAACCTCCTGTTTTGCACATATCCTATTTCCGTTACTTAACTCCGATGTCAACAGAACAATACCATAATACGAAAATGCATTCCCAAAGAAAGCCATCCACAGAAGCAGAGTTGCTCTGAGCAATTTTGGTGACAACAGCTTAGAAACAGACTTGAAACCTCCAAAATCGGAACCTTCGTCTTCCTTGATGTTGTCGTTTTCTTCTTCTTTAGCAGCTTTAGCAGTAGCAGACAGAAGCGTTGCAGACTCGGAAACTTCATCTAGCTCAATGTTCTTGTCAGAAACAAGCTTACCCGAAGGGAGTTGTGCACTGTTTAACCTTGCCATTTTCTCCAGTACATCCACAGCCTCCATTGTTCTGCCTTTCATGCAGAGGAACCTTGGCGACTCGGGTGTGATAGCATAAAACAAAAGCAGGAGGAGAGACGGCACAGATGATAATGCTAGCAACCACCTCCAGCCATACTTGGGCATAACTACCTGCCATTACCATGACCAAAATTAGACACAAGAACAACATGGTGAAGTAATCCAAGTCAAACATGTCCGATTTCACCACGAGAATATATGCCTCTCTGAACTAAAAACTGCCTACGCAGAACAGGATACATTGTCAAATTTTAGTAGATGTTCTAATCCACGTATCCATGTGCAGATACAGAGGGACCAGACAGGTACTTGTCAGTATTGTTTCAGAAATGTTTCAAGGGATTGATAAGCATAACCAAGTGTCAAAGACTGTCGACAATCTGCATTTTCTGACCTTTTATGCCCTTTTGATAGAAGTTACTTTCCAAAGTGACGTTTATCATGTATGTTGTTTACTGCTGGTATACATTAGCACTATTCATAACGCCAGTTTCTGAACATGGAAGGAGAAAAATTATACCCATGCAAGCGAAGCCTCGAAGATGGTACCGACAGTCCAAAATGCTGAGAGTACCACCATCCAAGTTCCTCTACTTGGAGCAGGAACAAATTCCAAGAACCAAGATCCAAGAACAGGTCCTCCTCCCAAGCCAATACCAACTAAAAACCGTAGAGCCATTAAAGCTACATAGTTTGGAGAAAAGGCACTCAGGAATCCAGCTCCACTCGTCATAATGGCAGTAAAGAGAAACCCTTTCCTGTAAAATCCAAACACAACAGAATATAAGAGCTTGTATGAGCTAAACAAGAAGAGTAAAAAGAATCAGGAAAGGTTTATGCATTAAATTTAAATAGGCATTCCCTACTTTTCACATCTGTAACTATTCAAGGATCTATGATGAAAACAGTTTGGAGATTAATTTTCAAATTGGCATAAAAATTACAAAAGTTGGGTATTAACATCAGTGCTTTGCCATTTCCGAAGCAGTTACTGTTGGTAACCATAAGCAGAATCTGTGAGTGGAAACCAGGATGGATTGCAACATTATGTTAGATATCACCAAGAGGGAAATGGTCATGTGTAATTTGTGCGACAAAGTTGCATGAAAGAAGTAATGAATAGACCTGCCTCCTTCCATAGTTATCTGAGACCACACCCCAAGAGTAAGCTCCTATTAGCATTCCAACAAAAACAACACTTGTAATCATGCTTTCCTGGTGAGCAGTAAGATTCCATTCTAACTGAACGGATGGACCAACAAATGATAGCAGCATCATCTCCATTGCTTCTGCGATTAAGCCTATCCCAGCATAGGAGAGAATCAATATTTGGTACTTCCCAAAACCTGAAGATATAAGGGCGTCATCCACAGTATATGTGGCTGATTGTTCGTCCTCCATCTGGAAAATAGATATCATACTTGTTATTCATATAGCATCGGTCAGCAGAGTAAATCTACACATCTTATATCTAAGTCCAAGGCTGAAAATAAAAATTGGTGCACTTATTTTAGGGGCTTTATTACGCGGGTTTAATAAACATTTGTATTTTCCATTCCCTCAATTTATATGCAAAATCTAGCATGAGACGAGAAAAAAAGACATGTCTGAAAAATTGTAAGAAAAGGACAGGCAGTACAAAAAAGGACAGCCACACTTTTCTTGCCCCGCTCCATTAACTGATGAACTGATGCATGATGCATCATGTGTTAGGCATCAATGCGTTGGATATCAGATACTCCCTCCGTTCCAAAATATAGCGCGTCCTCGGTTTCCGTGCTTCAACTTTGACCATTAATTTAATCAACAAGACCGACTGCAGCGGGCGAAAAAATTATACCAATGAATTCGTATTCAAAAAAAGTTTTTAATTATATAATTTTTGATCCCGCCGCAGTCGGTCTCGTGGGTTAAATTTATGGTCAAAGTTGAACCTCGAAAAGCGTGGGCGCGCTATATTTTGGAACGGAGGGAGTAGATCATACTAGATCCAAAAGCAGTGCAGGCACGCTTTCTACTAATGTCCAAGCAACTTAAGCGTTAATACACACACACACAAACAGGATGACTGCATGTATCAGGAGTGTTAGGCATCGATGTGTCGGACATTAGATAGATCATAGATCCAAAAACATTGCAAGCGCACTTTCTACTGTCCAAGCAACTTAAGCATGAATACACACAAGAACAGACCCACCAACCAATCCACCAACTGTGACCAAACAAGCACATGATAATTCAGAACAAGCACCTAACAAGAACCAAAGCAAAGTCCAGAGAGCATCAATGGTAATAGCGATGAGAAGCATTCGGCGCATCGCATTGTCACAATCTGTTTACGTGCTTTGCGCGTTCCTGAAGCAAACGGTCAACTCGCCACCGACACGGGCTGAATCTGAAGAAATGGGGGTCGTGGATCCTCACCATTTCGATCGAGAGCTTGCCGGCCGGATCAGAGGGTGGCTTGGATAGCATTGATCCTCAGCAAGCTGGGAGCATCAAGCTCGGCCCTCGCCTCGCGCCTGGCGCCCGAGTGCCTGCCCGCCTGGCCGATTTCCTCGGGCGGCCTTGTCCTGAGAGATCCAAAACAAGAAACGGAGGCACGCACGTACGGATCACGCCACGAGGCCACGCAACACGAGAACGGGAGCTTGGCGAGAGGAAGAAGAGGAGAGGAGGGAGCAAACCGGAGGGAGGGAGGGAGGAGTGCGTTTCTTGGATCTGCAGCGTCGCAAGAACCGCGTGATCCGGCGGGCGGGGGCGGGGTGGGGTGGATCGGCCGGGCGGGGACGGAAATGGGCGAGGAGGGATGGGAACGAAATCCTGGCGCCGGTTTAGGAATCGGCGAGAGTCTTGTCTGGTGATTTGTCTCCTCCGACGTTGCGGGATGGGTGGCGAGTCTGGGTCGTAGGTTGGCAGCGGCGTGGCCCCTGCGGTGTGGGGATGGATGGGGGAGGGAGGAAGGAGATGCGAAGATGCGATATGGAGCCCGCGGCCCGCGGTATGACCGGACCGTCCCGTCCCGTCCCCGTGGAGCTTGGAATTGGGAACGTGCCCGCAGTCAACGCCGGGGTACAGCGCGCGGCACATGGGCGTGTGATGACTTCGGCGCCTTGCGTGCTGCCACGGCGTCGTCGGCGAGGTACGGCTCTCTCCGTGAGAGCTACCGGGCGGCTGACCGTGTCCGGGGACGAAAGGTTCGGCGCGCGAGTTTGACTTGATCTGTGCGTTGCGTTCGTGTGTACCCCTCCTACTCGTTCGCAATAAGCGGCGAGCCATGGAATAAATATTTTTCTGAAATCAGAAAATCCAGCAATCAACAAGTCTGACTGTGTTTGTGAACATAGTATCATTTTCTTCAGCATACTTGGATCATGAAAATATGAGGTTCTAGAATGGAGAACCTTGCAAGAGGATAGTACAACATATACTCCATAACACAGTTGAAGTGCCTCAGTTCAGAACCTAAGACAATATATGGTGCTACAACTAAAAGCTATAACAAAGAGCATCATAAAATAACTTCTAAAGTGATATCCCCAACAACAGAGAAAGTTACCAGCCAAAGTGGAAGAAACATAGATATCTGGTTACCAGCCATTACAAGAAACACAAATGAGTTTGTCCATTCCAAGAAACACAATTAAGTCATCACAGTCAACAAAAGGCCATAAAATATCTGGTTATGTGTCCTTCACCGTTGAATTGTACTCACTCCGTCCGAAAAAGCTTGTCCCTGAAATGAATGTATCTAGCACCAATTAGTGCTAGATACATCCATTTGAGGGGCAAGCTTTTACGGACGGAGGGAGTAGTGATAACTTGTGGTACTCTTGATATATATACATCCATTTTAGTAGCAATACTGAAAGTATAAATGAATTACAATGGTGAGTGTTATTGATATATAACGAACAAGACTCTCTTTGTAAAGAGATTTCAAAAAGGGGATGTACATAAGATACAATCAAAAAGTTTTGTCGGGAATACCGGAATGATATTAATATTTCAAACCATGAGTATGATTTGAAATAATGTATCAAGTTGCTGAAATTTGATACAGTAATTGGATAATTTGGAATTTATCAAGAAGATTGTGGATAACAAGAAGTTTAGTGGGGGCTCTATGACATTTTTTATATTACATATGTATGACATATCACTTGATCAGAAATGATATAAAGTATATTAGCACAAAAGATTAAAATCATGTTTCTAAAAAGGACTTAGAATTATTGGATGAAAATCTATATAGATAGATTAAAACATCTCATTATGCTAAGACATGTATTGTGATAAAGTTTTAAAGAAGTTTAAAAGGAAAAAAAGTTTTCTCATAATGTCACATAGTATAACACTATGCAGAAATCAATAGTTGATGAGCATGTGTGGATGAATAGAGTTCAATTTACTTCAGAGATTGAATTCATCATATACTATCAAATGTACAAAGCCATATGTTTCATATGAACAAATCGTTAAAAATAAATACCATGGTGAGGTTCACTAGGGCTATTGCTTAAAGATTAAGTATCTCAATTGGACAAAGGTTTTGTTTCTTGTCCTTGGAGGAGATGAAGAGATTGTTGTAAATAGTTACATAAAATATTTGTTGTAAAGGTTACACAAAGACAACTTCATGACTGATATGGTTTAACTATAGGGCTATAAGTTTGAAATAGTTCTCAAGAATGAACATAAATTGTGGATCTATAAATGATATAGATTGAGGCTTGAGAAGTTTATCAATAGAGTATAATCTGGTCAATAAAAAATCGATAGATTATGATGTAGTTCCAAATGAATATTGACTATATGGATATATATAGCAATTGGACTATATGGAGATATAGCGTTACTATAGAATGGACTATATGGAGATATAGTGCTGCCATTAATGTAACAAAAGAATTACACAATAAAACCATATGTTACTGACACAAATAACATTGGGATTTGAATAGTATAAGACCCAGTGATGAAGGCTCTACCACTAGCAAAGCATGAGAAACAGCAGATAGCCATATGTGTTAGAAAACATGCAACTAGATTATTGACTCTAGTGCAAGTGGGAGACTCTTGGGAATATGCCCTAGAGGCAATAATATTTGTACTATTATATTTCCATATTCATAATTATATAGTGTATATTCTATGCTATAACCGCTATGATCCTGAAGTATGCGATTCGGTGGAAAACTCATATGCACGTGTCGAATGATAAACAGTTAAATAAAAAGTTCCTAGTCTTGCCTCTAGAACTAGCTCAAGTGTTGTTGATGATCACGTTTTTCGAATCTTAGGATATCATTAAGTGTAACGATAGTCCTAAAACAACAGTGAGATTATGATGTTAGAATTAAGAACGATCATATTGAATCGACCCAAACTTGTCTGTTATAAATTGAGTTAATATCATTTGTAATCAATTGTAATAACATGGAGTGTTAACATGTGATTTTGCTCATTAGATCATGAGAGTATCATTGTCACTTCTTACTGTACGATGAGCTTTGGGGTTGCTCACACATCACTTGTAACACGATGATCATAACGACAACTTACATGTTCATCGAAAAGTCTGACAAGGGACTAAATAGCTCAAGAGTGGAATTTGCTCCTCCGACAATGGAGAGATATTCTTACGTCCCTCTCCCTGTGACGACATCCATCATCGTTGGCTAGATACAGGTGACTAAGCCACGGGGAAGCCGGAACACAATAGCGAGAAAGAAGAACAAAACTGGTAACGAGGATAACGGTATAATGACCATAGTGATGACTTTGGAGGATACCGATGCATCCTAGGTTTTGTGAAGTGTCACGAAGCAAAGTGAACATCACATGTTAACCATAGGTTTACTTGAATATCATTTGTGTGCTCATAGGGATCGATATGGACATCCACGGTCCCGCTGTCTGTCATTGAACGAAGGAGTTTCGTTCATGTCTATGAGTTACTGAACCTACGGGGGTTCACAAGCTTAAGGCAATCATGATATGCTGAGTGTTGGAAAGACGGGTGTGATGAGAATATATTTGTGGAATTGTTTTATTAATATTCAGAATAGTTTCGAGAGGACGAGGAAGCGTTTCGGGGTTACCGGAAGGGTTACGAAGAATATCGGGTAATACCAAGTACTGCCCATAAATAATATATAGGTGGAAAATATTCTCAGGGATGTTCATACTGTTGGGGAATGCAGTATTTCAAAAAAATTACCTACGATCGCACAAGATCTATCTAGGGGATGCATAGCAACGAGAGGGTAGAGTGTGTCTATGTACCCTCGTAGACTGAAAGCGGAAGCGTATAGTAACACGGTTGATGTAGTCGAACATCTTCGCGATCCAACCGATCTAAGTATCGAACGTATGGCACATCCGCGATCTGCACACTTCAGCTCGGTGACGTCCCTCGAACTCTTGATCTAGTTGAGGCTGAAGGAGAGTTTCGTCAGCACGATGGCATGGTGACGGTGATGATGAAGTTACCGACGCAGGGCTTCGCCTAAGCACTACGACAATATGACCGAGGTGTAAAACTATGGAGGGGGGCACCGCACACGGCTAAAGATCAACTTGTGTGTCTATGGGGTGCCCCCTCCCCCGTATATAAAGGAGGGGAGGAGGAGGCCGGCCGGCCCTATAGGGCGCGTCCAAGGGGGGAGTCCTACTCCAAGTAGGAATTGGCTCCCCCCTTTCCTAGTCCAAGTAGGAGAAGAAGGAAGGAAAGGCAGAGGGAAAGGGAAAGAGGGGCCGCGCCCCCTCCCCTAGTTCTATTCGGACTCCCCTTGGGGGGCACCTCTAGGTTGCTGCCCTCTCTCTCCCCTAAGGCCCACTAAGGCCTATTACTTTCCCGGGGGGTTCCGGTAACCCTTCCGGCACTCCGGTTTTATCCGAAACTATCCGGAACACTTCTGGTGTCCGAATAACATGGTCCAATATATCAATCTTTATGTCTCGACCATTTCGAGACTACTCGTCATGTCTGTGATCTCATCCGGGACTCCGAAAAACCTTCGGTACATCAAATCACATAACTCATAATACAAATCGTCATCGAACGTTAAGCGTGCGGACCCTACGGGTTCGAGAACTATGTAGACATGACCGAGACACATCTCCGGTGAATAACCAATAGCGGAACCTGGATGCTCATATTGGTTCCTACATATTCTACGAAGATCTTTATCGGTAAAACCGCATAACAACATACGTTGTTCCCTTTGTCATCGGTATGTTACTAGCCCGCGATTCGATCGTCGATATCATCATACCTAGTTCAATCTTGTTACCGGCAAGTCTCTTTACTCATTCCGTATTGCATCATCCTACAACTAACTCATTAGTCACTTTGCTTGCAAGGCTTATTGAAAGTGCGTTATATCGAATAGAGGGGGGTGAATAGGTGATTTTTATGAATTCTTCACTGAGGAATTTGCGGGTGAGGAAATTCCTGAGTGAAGAACTAC